CACACCCCCACACCTCCCCATTACCCCCCACACCTCCCCACACGTGCCAGGAAAGTCTGTTAGTTTAAATTACTTAGACTTCATCCTTCTGTGACGTGAACTGAATAGAGCTCACATATCAGATTAAACTGAGAGGCCAACTTGGTAATGCTCTTTCTATTGAGTTCTGGCTACACTGTGGTGATGTGTGGTGATGTGGTGGTGATGTGTGGTGATGTGGTGGTGTTGTGGTGGTGATGTGGTGGTGTGGTGGTGTGGTGGTGGTGAGGGGAGAGGTGAGGAGGAGAGAGAGTTGGGTATATAAAGTCTCTCGCTATATTTGAGACTAGAGACGTAGTTTTGTGAGAGAGAGAGAGAGAGAGAGAGAGAGAGAGAGAGATCACGTAAATATAAACGGAATAAATAAATAAAAAATATAAGTATCGTAAACAGAAGAACATCGATAAGGGAGATGTTTGGGTTACGTCACTTATAGTTTTTGGCACAGAAATTCAAGAGTCTATTCCTGTAGGTACAAATTCCTTTAGAAATCGATAAAATAAACTTGAAAATTATATCATAGATACGTAAAATATTCTAGGGGAATATTTTAATAAAAGATAATACAATTAGACAATAAATAAAGCTTCACGATATTATAAACGAAAGAAACAAAAGACAGTCAAATTAGGGAAGGTTTGGATCACATCACTTATATATTTTCCCTCAGAGATTCTATCGTTTATACTTACAAAATATCCACATCATTGGCTATAAAATTAAAATAAAAACTACAATAAATGACAAGACATTAATACAACAATTTTAACGAGATTCAAGACAATTTGATAATGTTTTACCGATAAAAAACCATTAAAACCTCGACCAAAACCTTCTATTTAAAAGCCTCGTATCGGAAAACCAGGTGAAGCGACGGGACTAAAAAAAAAAAAATCCCGCCAGCGCTAATTTAGTTTCGCGCCAAAAAAGAATTTTCATGAGAGTTGGCGGGAAAAAAAAGTCACTAAGTTTATTATGTAGAATCATGCAAATTGGGGGAAGAGAGGAACACTCTTAACTTAATTATTTCTCCAGCGCTGCAATCTCCCCTGCATTATCTCCCACAACACTATTTCCAACGATGCTAATTCGAAATAGAGTCACCTTGGCAGTAGAAACCCCCCACACACACCAAAACACAGTATGTGGCAGACGAGTTTTAAAAGTAATCCTAGCTAAAGAAGACAGTAACCTCCCTACCGCAGCAGTAATCTCACTTAATCCAGCCAAGACTCCGGTAATCCAGTAAAACATGGATTTTCGAGTATATAGAGAGAGTCTTACACGTGTCCCGAGTCTACAGAGGCTACAGGGAGGTGTAATTGAGGCCTTGGGGGTAATTTTTCACTCGTAGATCTACTGTAGGTTGTACTTTTTATGTATTTTGTAGATCTGTTTGTATTTATGTAATTTTGTATTTATTCCGCTGTATTTTACGCTGTTGTACCGGGTTTTGCTGTAATGTAAAGCCATATTACAGTGGTTTATGTAAGATACAGTACTGTATTATGTGTATGCGTCACTACAGAATTAATAATATATAATGTAGACTCAAGTTTGTATTTTTGATTCTGTATCGTCTTTTCTCTTTATTCGGTTTATGTAATGTCACTGTATCCGGCTATTTTCTGTACCTGCGAATTACTGTATCCGGCTTTCTGTAATGTAACTGTATTTGACATGTAACTTTACTGTACCAATCTGTAACTCAATTATATCTATGTATTTTATGTGTAACCCAGACCTTCAAAATTGTTTCTGTAATCTATGTGCATTTAATTATGTAAAATATATATATATTTAAGTAACTTTCAATACATTATGTAGTTCTTATGTAGATTATGTAACACTAAATTATGTATTACAGTATTTTGTTTCCTGTAACCATGGTATTCATCTATAGGCTAAATACAAGGGCGCTGTAAATATATTTTGTAATTAAATATTTAGTATTATTTATTTCCAATTGCTGTATTATTTTGTATTGTGTAAATTTAGTTCCTGTATTTTGTAGCTGTAACTTATATAATATTCTGTAATACAAGAATTTATGTAGATTATGCATAATGTAAATGGCTGAAAAAAATTATTATTATTATTATTATTGTTATTATTATTGTTATTATTGTTATTATTATATTATTGTTGTTATTATTATTGTTATTATTGTTATTATTATTATTATTATTATTATTATTGTTATTATTGTTATTATTATTGTTAATTGTTATTATTATTATTATTATTATTATTATTGTTGTTGTTGTTGTTGTTGTTGTTGTTATACTCGCTGGCACAGACGTCACTATGTGTAGTACAATGTCAGGAAGATGTCAATCGCCGTCAAATAGTGAAAGTGTACGCCAGGCGGAGGTGTACGCCAGGCGAAGGTGAGTTTGGTGTAACTACTGTACCATAAATGGCGTTTGGGGTGAAGAATGCCAGGCGCTGCTGAACGTCGGCACTGGCACTGTTTATGGCAGACGACTCAGTGCCTTTGACGAACGATTTAATGTGTCAGAGTGCCAGGGTGTGTCAGAGGGTGCTAGTGTGTCGAGGGTGCTAGGGTGTGTCGGAGGGTGCTAGGGTGTGTCGGAGGGTGCTAGGGTGTGTCGGAGGGTGCTAGGGTGTGTCGGAGGTGCTGTCGGAGGGTACAGATGTGTCGGAGGGTGCTAGGGTGTGTCGGA